TTTGCTTTCGACTTTAATCACTTATTGGAATGTGCATTTAAATTATATGTATATGTGTGTAATATAAGCAGGAAACAACATGAAGTGTATTTTATATCCCAAGTGAATTCTGTAGAAATGCTTGCTTTATGTTTGTTTTTAATTGCTTGTTTTTGTGTGTGTTTGATCAAGCAATAGCTAAACAGACTCTAAGTGCTCAGTTTTATATGTAGCTCTTGTCGTTAACTTTTCTTTATAAATACTTTCGTGTAAAAGATTGTTACTAGAACAGGCTGTCCAAAGTATCAAGCTTGTTTCCTCTTAGGTGCTTTATTTGAGATGACCATGGAGAAGGAAAAGTAGTAGCTCATAGGAAATAAATGTAAACAAAAATCACAAGTGATATGAAAGAGGGTTAGGATTATACCAGAGCAGTAGCTAGTTGGATTAAAAAAAAGCAAATATGGTAGTGTACCAAAGATAGGTAGGTGGCAAGAGAGATGTTGACTTGCCAGTCTAATAAGATGAGCAGGCAGCAAGTTGGGAAGTCAAGGTAATGAGGAAAAAGGAGATTATTTTTCTTTTATTATTTTGTAGATTACGTAAGTGTTAGAAAAGGATAAGGTGATGTGTGCTTCAGACTTGCATGTTAAAGGATAAGTAAGTGTTTAGATGCTCAGATTAGAAAAGAAAAACATAAATTTCTGAAATAACATCTACTAGGCTGAAATCAATTTGTCCAAATTCTAAAATAACTCAAGAGTAAGCTCCTAACAAAATTATAAAATTACTGAAATATTCTCTTTTGCCAGAGATGTTCATTTGCCTAATAGAGCCACCTAATAGCTGAGAGGAAGCAATTTGATGGTCACAGGCAACTTCAGAGCCTGGATCAGGTTTAGAGGGGCAAGGAAGTGAGCAGGAGGAGCTAGCGTGTTGTGAGCTGTTGGAGAACTATGAACTGCTTCAGTTACTGGTGTGTGATGGGGTAGCTTTTGTGGTCAGAGTTTGGTGATTGAGGAGCTGGACTCCCTGGAAAATAGGATATGGGGGATAGGTGCTGTGAAAGCTTGTGGGGCAGGAGCAGAGGAGACTCCCGGGGCTGTAGCAAGGCAAATCTTGCCTTTGCCTTCATAAAGGGCAAGAAGGGCAACCCAGGGAACTACAGTCTAGTCAGCCTCACTGCCTCATCTTACTGGGAAGATAATGGGGAAAGTCCTCTGGCAAGCTGTTTCTGGGCATAAGAAAGGGAAAGTGGTAACCAGGAATAGCCAGCTTGGAATATCAAGGATAAATTGTGCCTGGCCAAGTGGATTGTAGTCTGTGACAAAATATAGCTAGATGTGAAGATGGGGAGAGTGGTGGATATCATCTATCACAGGCTCTGAGGGAGCCGACTGCAGCCTTTGCACATCCAGGAGCAGATGACTGAGAGGATGGAGCTGTCCTCCTTGCTCAGGTGCCCTGCAGGGGGAAGACTGCAGATGCGAACTGAGCCAGGGGAGGCTCTGATCTGAAATAAGGGAGAAATTCCTCCCAGTGAGGGCAGTCAGGCAGTGGTTGCACAGAAAGGCTGTGCTTCACTCTATTTGGAGATTTTCAAGATCCAGCTGAACAAGGTCCTTAGCAAGCTGGTCGTATCCTCAGTTGACCCTGCTTGGACCATGGAGCTGCACTAGATGATCTCCTGAGGTCCCTCCCATTCTGAATGATACTGTGGTTCCAAATGCCTTGTTTGTGGGGTTTAGAAAGCAGACAATATCAAGCAATTACATAAACTTAGTAATTTCAGGCAAGTGGGTTACTGTGATATTGATTGAAGTATTAAATTAGAAGTATAGGATAAAATATGCTGGTGGCAGAATAGATTATAAAGTAAATCCAGTCAGTAACTCCCAAAAAGAAGATTTTCAGTCCAGTCCTTCTAAAATTCTTTAGACAATGTTTTTGGAGAAGTGAGAACTTATTCATAAAATCAGTCTGACTGTTGCAATTGCCTGGATTATTGCAGCCTTTTGATTTTGAAATATCCAATATGGGAGCTAACTGAGAAATTGTCACATGTCAAAAGCTCATTAAGAAACTAAAATTATCTGAAGTTGCAAGTTCAATTTTCAGTTATTAGTCGGGAGGAAAGAAAATGCTGAGGAATCTAAAAGGGGGTGAAATATGATGTTAAATGAAATTGTTTTTTTGATAAACACCGTGTAGCACTTCAGAAGGAGCAGTTTGTGCTACTGATTCACATTATGCAGTTTTAGCTGCTGCAGAAGATGATGAGGGTAGCTATAAAGGAGATAGGAAAGTCTTCCTTTTGTAATCAGTATCAGGGAGGAATGTAGGTATTGCAAAGTTCACAAAGAATGGGTTTTATTTGTAGCATTGCAATATGAATTGAAGGTATGCACTTGGTTAGAAAGGAAATGTTCAGTTGTACCCCTGTCTCAGAAAATCACGTGAATGAGCTCGAAGCTAATTTGGAGCGGCATTTTCAGAGATGTTCATGTATTCTCATATTTTCAGTGTCATTAGACACAGCATTGAAATACCACCATGCATGTCTAAACTGCTATACAACAGTGTCATACTTTTTCACTTTATTTTTTTCTAAAAATGTTTGGTTTATTTTCTGAACAAGCATGTCAAGGTGTCCCCTTGCTCAGAATAGCCTGTGGCTTCATGGTTAACACCCTGTACTAGTTCTTTCTCCAGAACTCTGCAGTTGTTAAATATATGTAGACCTTGCCAGTAGAGGATCAGTTTATGAATGAATGTAATTAGATCTTAGTTTTCTAAGTACCAAACCAGTCATCTATCTGTGAACTCCTGGAAGAGGCCACTATCAAAATCATGTTATTGGACCCAGCAAATTATTTGGCCTGTTTTGTCAGTTGTCGTTTTGGTCCATCAAGAGAGTGTGTCTATCAATTTAATTTTCATTGGGAGTATACAGAGATAGTAATTGGTCTGTTCATATTCTTATCACACTTTAATTAAAAATAGACTTAATCTGAAAATATGTGCCTCAACTGAGCTTATATATACCAAGTTTCAAGTTAGAGCGTACTTCAGCTGTTTAAGTCTGGATGCCCATTGTCAGGAGAAACTTCTGATGCTTTTGTAGCAACTATAATGTTGTTATAACTTACCCTTGAGACTAGAGTGGGTTGCTGCAACTTCATACATAAAATAAACAGAAGGCTGCTTTGCAGACCGTTTTATGGTTGCTTTTCGGTAAGTGTCTCTTAAATCTGACATCTGATACCTTCAGAAAGGCTTGCAGTTGCCTTGTGAGTTCTCTTAATTCTGTCTTAAATTGGTTATCAGTAACTACCTGTTCCTTGTGTACACAGTAATAAAGGTTTTCTAGTGGTGATAGTGATTTTTAAACGGGACATTATTCCCAATTTCTGCAATTGGTATTTTAACTCTCCCGTTTCTCCATAATAGAAGATCTATCAGGGTCCTAATTTAAAATGATGTGTTATTGAAACTTGGAAGCCATAAACATAGAACAAAAAGTAGAACAGATGAGAACCGAGCTAGATGCTTAAATGAAAAGGCTATGTGCTTTCTGTATGCACCAAATTGACTTTTTCTGAACATGAGAAAGGTTGAGGTGCCCTGGATGGGGCTTGCACTGTGGTCTCTGCTTGATCAGAGAAAGTTCCTGTGTTCAGTGCTTTCTTGAGAATGAGTTGATGAGTAGCAAAGATTATGGAGTAGAGAAAAGGTTGTTGAAAAGGGGTTGCTAGCTCTCTACTGGGTTGGCTGATAAAATCTGTTTGAAGTCTATGGGATTTTGAACTCCTTGATGAGCCTGATAGTGGTTTTCTGGCTTCTTGTAAAAAGCCCAGAAGGAAGGTAGAGGTTCCTGGGCCATTTTGGGAGCTGAGGCAGCATCCTGTCCCAGCTGGTGTGTGGGCTGGGATGGGAAGTTGGCTGCCTTCAGTGCCAAAAAGATTTCAGTGGTTTGGGAGGGGGACCTTGGAAGCTCCCCCTGAGGAAAAGCTGTCCAAGCAGCCCTTTTGAGCTGAAGCAATGAATGCTCCTCAGGGTCTCTTCTAGCTTGTTGCAGAAAAACTAAAATGTGCTGGTGTATTTGAAATGAGGTTTGAAGGGTTTAAGAACATCCTTCTGCTGCTCTGTTTTGGAAAAGCACAGGAGTATTCCTTTCCTGTGTCTGTTTTTAGTAATTGTTAATTGCTGATTAAGTTGCAAGTTACAGTCTTGTTTTGCAGGGAGGATTTCTGCTATAACTGCAGTTCCCTAGAGCTGTTACAGAAATTCTCAGAAGCCTCCAGCGTGCCAAAAACTAATGCTGTCAAGCAAAGATATTTTACTAGTTCATTCTACTCTTTTCTTCACTTTATCCCATTTGCTTGGATACTCTGGCACTTAGAAGCTCTGAATTGTTTTTACTTGATGTGAAAAATCAATTGACTGTTGAAAGGGGGCTTGGATAAAGTTTGAGTTGTAGATCTTCTTGCAGTTTCAGCTAAACTAAATAAACAAATATTCCTTCAGATTTTGTTATAATAGGTAGCTCAGTCTTATATATTAATATCCTAACATAGGGCATATTGCAATGAGCTGTTCTTTTCAAAAGTAACAAAAGTCTGTAAATTGTTCTTCCTGAAGTTTGCACTTCTCCTGCATATGCTTCAGTATTGTGTTGATATCAAGGTTAAGCAATATTTGCCTCCTTTATGAAAGTGCAAGTTTAGTTTCTGAACATCAGATACACTTGAAATGTTAGACTCTTTGGAGTAAAGCTAAATTGAAGTCCTGTGTTTAAGTTCACAGTCATCTTCTAATGCTGGTTAGAAGTCAGTTTTCATGGTTATAGTGTTCATTTCAATTTGTCATCTTTATCTTGTTTATCTTGTTTTAAATTTGTGTATTGCCCAAGTTGTGATTTCATGTAGTGTCCTTCTGTGAAAAGTTTTCTGTGAGATAGTTAACCTGTGCTGTTTGAGTTATGCCCCACAAGAATACAGGTCTGTTTGTTTTTTCTGCTCTTCCTTCAGAGGTACTGCTATGGCTACTACAGTGAACTTGGAACTTGATCCCATATTTCTGAAAGCTCTAGGCTTCTTGCATTCAAAGAGCAAGGATTCTGCTGAAAAGCTAAAAGCACTTCTTGATGAGTCTTTGGCCAGAGGAACAGATTCAAGCTATCGTCCTTCCCAGAAGGTATTGGAAATTAAGAGGGCATGGATCATTTTGTATCCTGTATGCTTCATTAAAGCTCTAGCTCTTTCTAGTTTGACTTTTGTAGCTGAAGTGTTAAAGCAGAGTCAGAAAGGGAGGGGAGAAAAGTAATTGTAGAGTGTTCACATGGATCATTCTCCTTTTATGCAGTATACTTCATTCTGTTGATTGAAGTTAATAAATCTTTTCACCTTTTTCAGGCCTGTAAGAGCTGTTCTGTGCTCTATTGCAAATGTTAGAGGTCTGTAAAAAATCAAATGAAATATGATTACTATTGACTCTAGCGTTTTTGTTAGTTATCATATAGACTGTTCAGGGTGAACTGAAATGATGTTTTTTAAATTAAAATTGCACATAAACATGCAGATTATTTTTGTCAGGGATAAATATTAAACAAAAAGCTATATACTCATAAAATTACTCCTTTCCTGGCAGGGGGGAAAAAAATGTTGGTCTGTCTTTAAAGAAGTAGAGAAGCAGAGTATAATGCCTCAAAGAGGCTTGGGAAGCTGAATCTGATAACAGTGTCCAGAAGAAAAATTCTCTTTTTCCTGTTGTCTGTCTCCAGTATCAGCTGGATAACAAAATCCAGTAATAGAAGAAAAATTAGGATGCTTTTCCTTAAATTTCTGGTCTGTGGATTAGTTTATCAACAAAATAATGTAAGAACATTTTGAGGAGCACAGGGATGCAATGGTTGGACAGGAAGAAATTTGTTTGTGAGCGTGGGCTCAACAGGAGGTCAGTGAACTCGCAGAGCTAAAGCTCAAGGCTCAGGGCCAGTCTGAATATACAGCAGATGGGGCAATTCCCTTGCCTAGGTGGAAGGGGAAACCTTGGCTCAAACATCTTGCTGTGATTAATCACTCATTTACATGCCTGCTTGTTCATTATCCACTGCTGACACTAATGCATAACTAATAAGAACTATTGATTTCTGTTGAGATGTATATCTAAATGTATTAACCAGAAAGGTGAATATGGACTGAGATTAAGCACAGGTCAATATCCCTCTCCACGAGGGAATGAAGTTTTGATGTCTGATATCAGATGTCTATTTGTATTTTCAGCATCCATTGAGTTTTTATCTTAAACCTAACTGAAAACTTGTGTTCATTCTTATTGAATTTCAGATGCAGAAAACTTTCCCTTTTAATTAATGCTTTGAAGGAAGGCTCTTTTTAGAAAAGAAATGCCTTCACTCTGGCAGATGAATGATAAAGAGGAAGTTTTAATAATTGACTGCAGCTTAAACTAATTTGTGGATGTAATATAAAAAGTTTAAAAATTTTAAATACACTTAAAATCTAATTGTATATAAGCATAGGTGAATAACTGTTTAACAACATGAACTGTTGTTCCATGTTTTCGTTTATATGTTGAAGACTTCTTTTTCTAGCCTGCATCCAATAGAAAACTAGGAGGTAACTCACATATGACTTGGCTTCAATTTGTTTCTCTCTTTAGGAAGTAGAGCAACCAAAAGTATCTGTTACCAAACCTATTTCTAGTAAGCAAGAGCCTAAAGCTGCTTCTAGTTTGCCATCAGGCAACAACAATGGCAAGCCTGCTGTACCAGAGAAGGTGAAAAAAGAAACAGAAAAGAGATCTGGTGATAAAGTAAGTCTAGCCTTGGTTCTCTAATGAAAAAGCATGACTGCTGTGTTTGGAAGTGTTTATCTGCAAAAGCATTCTTCATGTGTAACTTGTGTAACTCAACTCTTGCCTAACTGCCTATAACTTATGAGCTGTTTTGTGCAATCATGTTTAGGCAATCCAACAGAGGTTTTGTTGTATTTATTCTGAATGCTTTATACTAAAATTTAAGAGGTTAAAATGTAGCAATCTGATTTGTGTATTTTCCAAGGATTTTGAGCTGATGTACAAAAAAGTCTTGAGCTTCTAGCTCTGACTTATTTTGGAGAAAATATGTATCTAAGGCAATAGTGTTGTGTGTATGCTGTGTATGGTATGCCTTCATATACTCTTAACTTAGTATTTGTAGTCACTTTATTGTTTTAATATCTAGTATCTTTCTGCTTTTTTTCCCCACGTTCTCTATCTGTGCTTAACAGATGAAAGGGGAAACTGCTGAAGGACTTGATGCTCCAAAGAAACCAAGGCTAGAGAAGCAAGAAGCTCGTTCATCTCCTATTACAGTTCAGACAAGCAAGGATTTATCCATACCTGATTTATCCAGCTTTGAGGAAACCAGTGCTGATGACTTTGCCATGGAAATGGGTTTGGCCTGTGTTGTTTGCAGGTGAGTCAACATTGCTGCATTGTAATTCTGTAGCTACCTTTTGTGAGTATCATTTAGCTTTGTTTCTTGAAGTTCTTGTTCTGGAAATGACTTAAGCACCTATCTAAAACTATTTAAAAAAAAAAAAAAAAGTATCCTGCATGAATGAGTGGCTTCTTGAAAACAGAGCTCTTAATGCGGGGGGAGAGGGGAATGAACAAATCTTCAGAAAAGACAGTCAAAAATAATCAAGTTAAATGAGAGAGAAATCTCAGACAACTACCAAAAGGCAAGTTCAAACACTAATGGCTGATGTTAAGTAGCACTCTAAAGCAAGTCCTTTTCTGTGGAAGTATTTTGTAGAAGTAAATGTGTTTCATCCTTCAGTCAGGCATATTCCTTTTACTTGCCAATAAAGGCTCTAAAAATGATGCTCAGTACAGAATATAGATTTACAAGAAAGTAAAATTTAAAATGTACTTTTAAATATGCACCCTGAGATCAAATGCCTTCAATGAGGATTTGGTTTCATAGTTGGTTTATGTTCCTTTGAGTTCCTGCTTCTGCTAAAAGGAACACTTTGGCTTTCCTCACTTGTACCTCCTTCCCTCTCAGGTGTTTCAGTAGGTTTAGATTTCAGTTGACTGAGTGAGTGACATGTGCCAGTACATGGTGCTCCCCATTCCTGCATCCAGCCAGGGTAGGGAGGAAGATGGGGCTGCCTCTTCAGTGGCAGTATAAATTTGTGCTTGGCTTTAGCCAGTTGTGAATATTTCTTTAACTTTGTTTTTGTGCCATTTCTATAGTCGCTGCTGTTGCTCAGATGAGGTGACTTTATGAATTGCTGAGTCTTCGTGTCACATTCTCATGTATTAGCTTGAATGTTTGGTGTATTACACACCTTGAAAAGGGAAGAGCAGGTGAAACACTTAATGAAAAACGAGAAGTCTGTCAATTTGACCTTGTTTTCCTCCACATTCTACTTCTTCTGGCTCTTAAAAAGGCAATATATTGAAATGGTACTAAAACCAGTGTAATATTAACTCACTGAGCAAGAGAGGAAGAAAAGTTTAGTGTAGACAGTCTTGAGCTGTTGTAGTGTACTGACTGTGCATCTCCCAAGGCAAAGGAAAATGTGCACAGGCATAATGAGAAACAAGCAGTGAAAAAAAAAATGAGCCATGGTGCCTACTGCAGCTAACAGCTGCTGGGGAAGTGTAGGCCAGGGATGTGCTTCCATTAGCTCTTCTGTAATCGATGCTTGACCTGCCTGCTGAAGGCATTGCTTCTAGCTAATCATTATGATCACAACTTCGTAGTGCTCTGGCAAAAGACTTATCTATCTTGACCTACTAAACTAGGCACTTACACTGACACTGAAGGGAAGTGCATCTGGAAAAGGAGCCCGCTAGAGATGTCATCAGTCACCCAAGACTCAGGACTTTTTTTGGTTCTGTAGTATGTAGTAGTGTAGCCACCCAGGAGAGCATATTAAAATAATTTCATCTTTTCTAACATATGCATATTCCAGAAAGACAGGAGTCACTGGTATGGCTCTTCAGTTACCTGAAAAAATATTGCATGTAACTTGCAGTGACAGTGAATCCTCTGCTCCCACAAAGTTTTCCCAAGAAAATGTTTAAAAACTTGCTTGTATTTAAGGATTTTGTTTGTTTTATGAAGGCAGAACAACTATGTTTCTTGTTTAACAAATCATCTTACAATAAGGCTAGTTTAACTTTGTTAATCAGTTTTTCTATTTGGACTATGTGCTACTGCTGAAATTACTGCTGCCCTAATTTCCAGATAAGGTGATATATCTTCTCCCCTAAGACATGTGATTGAAACACCACTGCTTGGTCCTGACCCAGGTTTTGAGGTGGGTGGGAAGTGGCATGTGAAATATTGTTAACCTAAGATAGGAGATGCTGGAGTTTCTGAAAGGTTTGCTCCTTTAGGTAGCTACTTAAAAATAAAAAAATAAAAAAAAATAAAAAAAAGTTGCTTAGAAAAGGCTCTAGTGCCCATATGGGTGATATCTTCTGACTTCATTTTCCTGGTATAGAAAGAAATAAGGTATTCCCTCTCCCCACCCATCCACGTAGAGTTTCCATGGTTACCTGTGTACCTGCTCATCAGGGATATGAGCAAAAGCAGCTTAGCAATTAAATAACCTGATTTGTCATCTGAAAGAAATCATTAGGAAAGTGGTATTTGGCTAATTCGCAGATGTACTTCCAGTCATGTGTGTATCACTAATTTGTCATTTATACAGCATGATTGCTTTCACCAGAGGCCCACATAAGCTGGTGATGAAGACTTAATTTTATGTGTTTGCTGCAAGGCAGCACTGCACAGTTAATCCTTTCTGTTCCATCTTTCCATGATTTTTGGTTTTATCTCAAATTCCAAGTGTTTGTCTGGTTAGTAGGGACAACAGAATGGCTAATAAAACATCTATAAAGTAATATATATCTTGCATGATAATGCTTTTAAATCTCTGAACAGAAAGTGCTTTCACATGACTGTCACTGAGAAGTTATTGTATTCAGAAGCTTACAGCAAAACTATCCAAATGCAGACTAGGCCTTTGGGTGCTACTATAAGGTGAAAAATCATATTGGTGATACAGTCAATTGCCAGGTAGAGTAAGAAAAAAAAAAAAAAAAAACACCTCCAGGCGAAATAAAGCAGGTAAGACTTAAATTTCTACTATAAAAATCCATCAGGTAATATTGCTATATGTACCCATTTAATGTAAAATTTGTAGGTTTGAAAGCTGATGTTAAAACTGCTATTAAAATATTTTAAAAATGTATACCAGGAGAAGGGAATGTATTTTACTTCTCATAGGTAGAAAACTTATGTGAGACCAAAAATATTCTTAGTTTTTATATAAAACCTTATAAAATTTGCAACAATTGGATAATCCTTAAAGTACTTTCTCTCGTAATCTCTTCTTAACTATTTGCTCTGCAGGCAAATGACAGTTACTTTTGGGAATCAGTTAGTGGAGTGTCAGGAGTGCCATAATCTCTACCACCAGGATTGCCATAAACCTCAGGTGACAGACAAGGAGGTGAATGATCCTCGACTTGTTTGGTATTGTGCACGCTGTACCAGACAGATGAAGAGAATGGTAAGAATCATTTCTTTGTCTAGCATGAACACTGCTTGAATACAGCAGGCTATTTTTTGATGCATGAGCTTTTTAAAGGTTACAGAATTTGGAAGCGTGTTCAAGAACAGTTTTTCACAGCATGTTTCTGTTGGTGCTGCTGTGCTTTACATTTCTGCTCTTTTAGATGTTAAATTAAATTTATGGGTTTTTTAGAAGCAAAAACTGAGTCAAATAGCATTCTTCCCTACTTGATAAGCAATAGTTAAACACTTCCAGGTGATGCTATCTTTCAGTGCAAATCTACCATATTGCTCTATATTTTTAACTTCTTGCTTGTGGAAATGGATTTTTGTCTCTAAGACTACCGATTTTGGTCCAGATCCAAAGTGCTGGGTGTTCTGATGCTCTAGTAGCATGTTGCTCATCACTTGCTGAAGAACTTGATTATTCTCATGAACATGGGCCTTTGAACTAAGAGGGCTTGTTTGCATTAACTGATGGGATAGGCCTTGTAGCAATTCAGCCTTTCCCTTGAGGATGCTAAGCTCATTTGGCCTGAACTCTACCTTCCCTGCTGTCTTTTAGCAGATGCCCACAACCTTGGCCACTACTGCTGGTGACTGTCTATACCTTCAAGTTCACTTTTCTTCTTGTAGAGGCCCTGTGCTTTTCTGTTCCCTGTGTGACCCCTCTTCTCATGCTGGAGTACCTATCCAGTATGCTTTTTGGCTGAACTTTCCTCAGTACCATACTCAGAACTACTGCTACAGCCCTAGTCTTGACATGTTTCTCAAGCATAATTCAGCTTGAAATTAAGTATTATAGAAGCTGGACTGCGATCTGATAATACTCATGTTTTTGTTCAAGCTGTTAATGTTGTGGGGGACATAACTAATCTGTGTTTTGTCTTATGCAGGCTCAAAAGACCCAAAAAACACCTCAGAAACCAGCTCCTGCTGTGGTTTCAGTTGCACCAGCTGTGAAAGATCCATTGGTCAAGAAGCCAGAAATTAAGTTAAAACTTGATACCCCACCAGCTTTTCTGGCATTCAAGAGAACAGAAGTCAAGGTAATGTTGTTTAAATTTTCTGGAGGAATAGTTTACATTTCACTGCACAGATATGATAATCTTAATTAGGACAGTTTTCTCTTAAGAACCATAGCTGAAAATAGTCTACTATTCCATGTGTATGAAGTAATATAATACAGTGATTTTGCATTAGCACTAAGTTTAAAAAATCTCAATTCAATTATGAGTCTGTAAAGCATCCAGCTCTTGAATGTTTTTTATACAGGAGAAAGGAGTATTTACTCAGTTTTAATGATATTTTTTATGAGCACGGCCCCTTATAATTGTGTAAAAGATGCAATTTGCTCTCTGTAGCCAAATAATATATCTTATAGTTTAGTAGTTGGAAGACTTCTCATAGTAAGAAGGGAACCCAGCTAACCTCTAATTTAGGAGGCTTCTCAGACATCTTGCCACGTGTTTGAGCTATTCTGTACACAGCTATGAGTTGGTTAAAGGTAGTAAGCCAGAAGCAGCACAACAAATAACAAAGTCTTAAACCATGACCCTTATCTAGGAAAGCAACTTAAAGTTATGGTGCTTTGTGTGCTCTAAGTAATGTCTGCCATTGCTTTGCTTGCATGGGAACTTGTGAATAAAGGCTACTGCTCAAGCGCTTACAAGTGTAAATAACTTCCACTGCAGTAGGATTATGTTCCTAGTTGAGGTTGGAAGAATGCAGTCTAATCTCATCCATTTTGTTTACAACACATCTAGTGTTATGGAGCAGATTACTTAATATAGGATCTTAATTTTAGCTTTGATCCTACCATCTATAGATGTGAATTAATTGGCATATTATCCCGAACTGAAAACTGGGAATAGAGACTATTGAGGAAACATAGTTAATGGCTGCAGAAAGTTTTTTTTCCATTCCATTGCCTGAACTGGAAGACAAAAGGTTTTTAATTATGCATTGTTGTGAGAAACAAGAGGGGAAGTAGAAGGAGAGTTTAGACACCCCTCTTCTGTGCAAAAGACTAAGATCTGCAGTACTTAATTGCTCAGGCCCTGACTTTTTTGTCTGAGCATCTGTCAGCTTGTTAAAAAGCAATGCCAGGTAACCACAATACACAAAAGCAAGGCAATTGCCTCTGCCTATACTTAGCAAGTTTGGGCTCTCTGTAATTATTTGAGTTAAACCCTTTTTTTGTAGTTTTATGATTATGATGCCATATGGTAGCCTGTTAGCTGTATAGAATGTGGTTGGTAACACAGAAGAAGGGAAAGAAAAGGTTACATGGGATTTATTTGATTGGGAAATTAAGTTAGCTGTATGTGTGTCGTTTTTGTTGTTAGTGCTGCTACCTGTAGTGGCCAGATGAAATACTGTGATGGGTGTTTCTAGGGCAAAAACAGAAGTGGAAGCTTGATCTATTTGGCCACAATGTGTTATATAAATAAATGTTACTGTCATAGTGGTTTGCTTCTTTTTAGACCTCGGCAGCAGTTTCGGGGAACTCAACCAGTACAAGTGTTTCCTCTTCAGCAACCAGTGGCCTTACAGGATGGGCTGCTTTTGCAGTCAAAACCTCCTCTGCCACTCCATCAACTACCAAACTGGGATCAACAGCACAGAGCACCAGTGGGAAACCTGCAGCCTCCTCTAATAACCAGAAACCCGTGGGTTTGTCGGGGTTGGCAGCTCCCAAACCAGGACAAGGGTCAAAAGCAGCTTCAAACAGCAGCTCACACCCAAAAAAGGCAGCACCGCCGGCAGCAACGCGAGCAAAGCGGCCGGGGACGCCGGGAATCCGTCGGCCTCCCTCAAAGGCCCCACTTCTCAGGAGTCTCAGCTCAATGCCATGAAAAGGCTGCAGATGGTCAAGAAGAAAGCTGCTCAAAAGAAACTCAAGAAGTAATCCTGCTGTGTGGTGGTGGTCTGTAAAACAGTGGCTGTCTCTTCCTTAAAGAAAATTCCAGAGTTACCACACTGAAATGTTAGTTAATTCAGGGAAGACAAAAAGATGCTCTACAGGAGGTCACTAAATGAACCTAGAAGACTAGATGAACTTAGCAGTTCTCGACTTCAAATCCAAGAACTGAATACAAAGAACTGAAGAATATTCATTTTAACATGCCTCCTGTTTTATAGCTGAAAGCTTTGAAACATGGTATTGTTAAACTTGGATTTTTTTCTATATAGAAAGAAAATATTTATGTGCATCCTTAAATTGGACTTTTAGAACCTGTCATTCTTAAACAGCACTGTTAATAAAAGTGTTATTAATCTGGGACATTGCTACTTTTTTCATACTCCATTTTCCAGTCCTTAAACTGAGAAATGCTTCTGCTGTTCAGGGTTGTCTATTATGCAGATTTAATGACGTTAATCCTAAATTATACAATTCCTTGGCGGGGGGGAGATTTATTTCTTGATTCTGAATTAACAATGGAAAATATTCTACTTGAAGTGAGTATTTTAAGTGGTCTCTTATTTTTTATATACTGAGAACCTTCAGTGGTCACTTGTGCTATAATCCTCTGTAGAAGGCAGAGCATTGGCAGAAGGTGAATGGCCCCTCACCTGTAAGGGTGAAAGAGCTAACACTGTATTATCAAGCTCTTCTAGGTGAAGAAACCTAGAACTGTCCTATTGTAATACAAATGGAAAATAAGTGGAAGATGGTATGCATTAGAATTAAATAATCTAGTTGAAGCACATCTAAAATCTATTGAATTGATTTCTAATGTTTTGATGTGGGGGAGGAAAAAAAAAGAGAAGGAAATGAAAGGAAATAATTTTGGGAGCCTGTGCATTAGCCTCCTTCCTGACACCTGAAACATGGGAGACCTTTGAATCTTGTAAGTATTCTGTGCTCTAAGTACTGCTGTAAAACTCAAGTCTTGAATGAGTTTAAGTAGAAATGCCTTCCAAGCTATCTGGGAAAATGTAGTTTCCAATCTAAATTGTTGCACTTGTAGCCTTTATCATTTTTAAAATACAAGGGAGGAGCCAAGGCCAGGGACCTCTTTAATCTGGTATAGTTAGTGACAATGATGACTGAAGTCTATATAAAGTGTTAGATAAAATGTGGAGGTTTTGTTGTAATCTGCTCTTAAAGGAAATCTACTAGAATTTTCAAATTAGTAGGAAAAATCTTTCTAGCAGTTTAGTGGGAGGTGGTAGAGATGGAAGTAAATGTACACAAACGCCTGCCTGCCTTTATTTTGCTCAAACTTTTGTAGCCTAGAGGTTCTGGTCCTGTCTCCTCCCCTTGATTTGTCTTGTAAATTATAATTGGAAGAAAAACTGGAGAGAGGAAGAATAAAACTTGTACTGGTCTGGAGTTTCAGGAGTCAAATATTTAACGTCTATGTAACCTGGGTTGGGGATCCTAATGTGCCCTTAGAATTATATAGACTACAAATGTGATCATGTTGAAAGGGCAGACATGATCTGAATTGAGGTGTTTATCCTGCTGTGACATTCAGTGAAGAAGATTGCTTTTTGTCCCCTTTCTGAATGGGAGCAGGGATAGTCAGAAACAAGATTGTTTGTAAGTGCCAGAAATATCAGGTATGTTAGATGCTAAAATAAAAACTTGTAGTCTCAGGTTTTTTCAAATCTAAATGTTTAGAGACCTTGTTTCTTCATGGAAACTATAGTTTCAGATTTTGCATTCACAAGGGTCAATAAAAAGCTTAATTTTAACTTTGCATTTCTTGTTGTTCCCAGTGGGATACTCCAAGACTTGTATGGGAGCTGTCATACCTGTTCCCCTCGTTATTGCTGAGCATGTCGGTTCCAGGAGGAAGCGAAGCAGCTGCTGTGGGATGACAGAGGGAGAAGCTGTGCTGGGGCAGGGCTGCCTCCAAGCGTGTTCCAGCACAACGGCGGTGTCCAGGTAACTCTTTGCTAGCAGCGTTCTAGGTTCTCTGCCTAACTGCTAGTACTGATAATAACTCGAAAGAGGCTTTGGGGAGAGGCATTCATCTATGGGCACAGGGAGTGTTCAAGCTCAATACGCTAAATTCCCAGCTCGAAAGGGTCAGTAGCTTGGTTTCTTTGTGGCCCTGGAGCCTCCTCAGTGCTGGTGCAGGCTTGTGCTTTGCATGGTTGCTGTTAGAAGGAAGCATGTATATACTGCAGCTGCCTGGCAGAGGCATGGAAAAAAGGGTTTTGCCTTCCTATGTTACCTGTGTCTTCAAGGATGATTTAAAAATATCAGCAAAAAAGAGGAATTCAGAATCTTTTATTGCCTCTGGATCAAGCTCTCTTTCCTGTTCTCTAGCACAGAAGATGTTTTTAGTGTTGGTATGGTAGAAAAAGACATCACTTGCAAATGGATGGTATTTTTGCCTCCTAACTGTTAATCTGAAGAATATTGCCTACACTCTGAAGTGGAACATGCAGATAAATTTTTTTTCAGGGCTAGAATGTCAAGGTATTTGCTCCAGTATTAAATCTGCTTCTCCTAGGGAGGTTCAAGATGCAAAAGTGCCTCAGTTGCACCTCAGCATATGGATAGTTTTGTTTGGGAGCTCCTGGGAGCTTATGTTTGAACTCTGCAGCTGGCTCTGCAGGTACTGGGTCCGGAGAGAACAAAGCAGGGTACAAATAGTTTTTCCTTTTCAGATTGTGGTAGCTATCCCACTTAAAATTTCTTTGAGACCTGGTTCAAGACTATCTAGATGTTTTACCTCTAGAAATCTGGTAGAAATTGACTGTAGGTATCCCCTACTCATTTTAGGATGAAATACCTTGTGCTATACTGCTTAGGCAAACTTGTCTTTTCCCTCCAATAAGGTGGAATTGAGAGAGTGTTTGCTGATACTGTTATTAGCAAAATCTGTAGTAGAGCTGCAATTTATACGAACAAAAGACTTTCTCTATTGTACCTTCACTGACTTACTGAAATACAAAGTCTCCTTGTTTTGGTATAAAAATGTCAGTTAGGATTGCTGTTCTTTGAAGTGTTATATCGGCAAGGATTTAAAGCATAGACCTAGTCTTTTAAACAGTGTTTTGCTTGAATAGATTGAAGGGAATGGGTGTTTTCTGCTTTGAAGTTACAGTTAGGGTAGAATTAACAACTGTTTTTGTGGGAGGCAGCCTGTTTTACAGTATTCAGCTGAATTCATGTTTCAGACTGAGGAATCCAGCATAGGGCAGAAAGAATGAAGGCATTAGAATGAAGTTTGTAACTTTTTATGTAGGAAAGATGACTAGGAAATAGTCTTCTGGCTTTCTGTCATCAATTTGGGTTGTTCTGTGACTTACTATAAAAGTAGTCACCTAATGTTCCTTATCCTTTTTGTAAATTGATGGGGTAATATTTTCCTTCCACTTAAATATGATGTTTTTATCCATGTGCAAATTCTGATACCCTTAGTGTTGTGGATATAATCCTTGTGTTCCATTAAAAGCTCCTTCTAGGATTAGGGGTTCCTGATGGTGTCTGGATATAACAAGGAAGAGCTGGAATCTAGCCCAAAGTTCTGCAATAAAGTGTAGTAAGAAGCTTTATTACAAATCACACCAAAACAGATTGGACACAGCAGTAATAAGTTACAGCTACAGGAGCAGCTAGGAAAGAGCAGAGCTGACCTGCTGTGTGGAAACTTGAAGTGTATTTTCAAGCTTGTTCAGTATTTTGATAACAAGTTCCAGTATTTTAATATGTAAGCTAGGTTGTAAACTCGGCCCTGTTCTGAGGCAACTGTCCATTTTCCTTGCTCTGCTTATTTTGTAATGACTTTTTACAGTTGATAACAGAAGAGTTCAATAGCATATAAACCTTTATGCATCTCTTCAGGAAAAAGACAACAAAACTTTACAAAACAATTTATTATTGCAATAACTTAAAAGATTTTTCATAATTTCTGAACAAAAAATTATAAGAGGAATTATCAGTAATAGAGCCCCAGCTATCAGCTTTGTCATGACCAGATTTGTAATTGAAGGTATGAGGTCTGTTTCATATACCTGCCTCTTTAAAAGGTATTTCAGAGTAACAATGAGAGGCCTCTAATATTTGAAGTAACTACTCAGTGAAGCCTCCTAAGATGCAATGTCAAAAGGATCAGTCCTCAGTCTGTGCTGAAAAGGTGGGTCCTTGGTAACGGTTTTTGGGTACCCTCCAAGCAGAGGGAACGTGGTGCAGCACAGAAGGCTGCCAAAGATTGCAGCCAGAAACTGGGCTGTGCTTTGGCTCAGACACTGAATTCCAGGTTATTGCACAGAAATCAATGGCAACACTAAATAGATCCCCTGAAGGAAGAAATACTTCAGTTTAAATGGAGCCCATCTTGGAAATGTTTTTGAAAGCTTACTGCCTCCATGGTTCAAGTCAATAAAATTAACATTTGAATATATCCATGATTGGTCTATTAAACCTTAGCCTGTCCTAGTTTCAATCAAAATAAATCAGTTTTGTCATTAACAGGAAGAAAACTTAGTGCTGTAATCTTCTCTACATTAAAGAAACAATCATGAAAACATTGCATAGTTTTTAAGTTTCTGAATCCTAACAGAGGAGCTTCTAGCATTTAAAGCATTGAGTGATGTGTCTGAGCAGGTCTAATCTGAATTTCTGTAAATCTCCTTAATGTAGGCAGGCTTTAGATTCCAAGAGCTTCCCTTCATTTTTATAAATTATAGTTTTCATTCATGTGTTTCACAGATAAAAGCTTGCAATATATGTCATCTCATCAAATTATAACAGCTGAAATTTTAGATTTCTGAAACGATTAATCTAAGCGTAACCAAGTATTCTTTGACTCACAAGTTAGAGAGCATAAGAAAAGATAAAATGGTTGTGTACCTTTTTCAAAAGTATAAATTATGGGTCTTATCCACAGACTGGAAATTTGCATCCTCTTAGTCTGCAAATTTCACAGAAATTCTATGGAATTTTAGCGGCTGGCTCCTTTGTTTTATCCTTCATTCTCAGTTGTATCAGGACAGCAGCATTTGAATACTGAGATACCTTCATAAAGCCCGAGTTTTCATAGGGAACATGTACAGTGCTCTGTCAAAATCAGGGCCCTCTATATGACTCAAGATGAGCACTCAGAGCTAAGACTTAGGATTTTTGACTCTAGCTCTTTCATTGCCGTATCTTAATTACAGTATCTGCATCAAGCCTATTCAATTTAGTCTTTTAAAAACTTTCAGTTAATACAAAGTATGGATTGCATCCAAATAAAATATTCTGAAATGTTAAAGACACGTTGGAAAATCTTATGTTCGTTCTTCCCTGAATTTTCAGGTATAAAAGTCAAAGTAGTGCAAACTGTAGTAGGGTAGGATCAGTTCTATTCTTCCAGTCCCTTCATCTGAGCTGATTACCCAACCCTGGTGGCTTTTCTTCATTTAACCTACAGGCAAAGTTATTTGTAATAACAATTTAAGTCATGAATATAAGGGATGGGGATTTGTTTGCTCATCAGGAAATGGCAAGGTTTAAGTGCCTGAGCTGGTGTACAGTTAGACAAAACAGTGTGGTAGCTATTAGGACTGCTCATTGGATTGCAGTACCTCAGATTCAAACACCAATCTCTGGATGGCTATCTCAGTTTTAAAAGCTTCTCTCATATGATTTAATCCAGCACAAATGTCAGGATTGCATCTCTGATTCACTGCATTCATCATCTGAGCAAACTCGGGAATATTCCCTACCTTTTTAGCATGATCAGATGAAAATATGGGACACTTAAGAAAATGAAATTGGATTCACAAGTGTAGCAAAATGCTATTTGCATCAGCTTCTTAACTCCTCTCATCTTTGGCCAGTTAGTTTTTACTACATCTTGGTAAAGATTTCAATCATTTTATTATCATACCCCACACTTGAGCAACATGAGGAAGAAATTTACCAGCCAACAGCTTTAGTGCATACCCTTGCCCTTGATGAGCAACCTTTCCCCATACACATCTATTAGTATTGTCACTTTAATGGTCAGCTGGTAATTAGGAATTATGCAGCTATGCAGAATAACCTGTCAGAGGCTTGCATTTCACTCGCAACTGTTTCAAGCATAAACTTTTTTGCCTTTTGCACCATTTAGCACAAGGTCCTTGTTCCTCATTAGAGGTCCGGGGTGTTATTCTTAGCTAGTTTCATCACAGTTTAACAGTTTTGAAGGTACTTTAGTAAGATATATAATATACTCTGATTCCAAAGAATGTTAAATCAGCTCATCAATATATCCTTCAGTGTCCATATAATGTCAGCCACTTTGGGAATGAGAATGATGATTTTGTCTGGAAAAGAGATCTTGGCGCGTCTTGAGTCTGAGCTTGTACACTAAACATGTCTGTATATGAACTAAGGAATCAGATGGGCAGTAAATATTCGTGGAATAGCACTTGACTTTTTTTCTCCTAAAGCATGGGTTATTAGACTTGGGAAACTTAAGTTCTTTCAGTAGCAGATCCTGCAATATAAAACTGCTAATACGGAAATATTTTTCAATCCTGATGCATCTTCATATTGCTACAAACTGTTTCCTGTGATATGAAATAGCTGTGTAATTTTTCAATATTAACTTCTGTATTTCACATTACTTCCTTTTGTGGCACCCCAGCATCCTCACATTTCTGTAACTTAACTTGTTCTTTCTCTGTGATTAGCCATTGCTGCCAACATAATCTATATGTTTTAAGTTATAGTCTAAAAAATGTTTCTTACAAAAATGAAATTCGTTTTCTTTTCCTAGCCCAGAGAGGAAGGTTCACTGCAAAAATGGCTGAAGATAAGACATCCAAAAGCTCAAGTTCTGAGAAGGGTCTGTGGTGATTAAGACAGCAGTTCATGAAAATTCATTCTGAACTACAGAATCTCTGAAGACAGAGGCTGTCCTTTTTCAAGGTTAATTTTTTTTCGCCTTGAATGTTATTTGCTAAATACTGTGGAAGAAAAGCATAAATTTAGATATGATTTGTATTTGTATGTTGACTTTTGATGTAGGACGCTGTTTGACAAAAGAGAAAACTATGGGGTAATGAAAAAGGGAGCTCTTCAGGACATTAATCAGAATCAGTCTTCCTCTTAAATGCGTTTTCCTTCATATCTTGACAAGGTGATGGCTTTTGGAGAATGGAAGTTCTCAATATCATCTGTGTGCTGTACTTGATATGGCTTCTGTCCATCACTTGTGAGTTTGCCTTGCTGCAAATGATAATAGATTATTATTCTGTCTCCTTCAGAGAAACTGGCTCAATGGACCTTTGTGTCCCTAAGCGTATGTCATCTTCCCAAGGTAGTTAGATGGTACGTATCCTTTCTGACCTTTGGCTTCTGCTAGCCACCACTCTTTATTGCCACTCAGGTCAGAAAAACGAAGTATCCTAACCCTCTGGTATTCCTGAAGACTGAGTTCCTGATCATTTCTTGCTTGAAATGCATAAACAGCATAAAATGTCTGAAAAAGGAAAGACACAAAAATCTGAATACAGAAATAACTGCATTTTACACCTTACACTGTCATTTTATATTAGTATGAATTATGTGGATACAAAATGTGTAATATACAAACTAGTGTGTAATTAGTCTATTATGGTTACACAGAGTACAAATAACAGGGCCAAGAAAAAGTAAAATTGAAAAAATGTAAATATTTGTCCATGGAACAAAGAAACAAACCAAGCTCTGTGGTACCATCCAAAGAGCACCCCAAGTTAATAAGATCTTCAATTTTCATTGAATGTCAGCAAGCTTGGAGTGACAATCTGAGCATTTACAGCAAGGTTTCATCAATGAGAACCACCTTTCATAAACCTCCTGCACTTAAATGTGACAACTGGTAATGATTCCCTCAGATTATCTCAGCAGCCAAATATCCTTTCTGCAGTACTCTCATCTGGAAATAGTAATAACACAGGTCACTTCTGTGCCTTGCTATCACTGTTGCCCTAGCTTTCTCATCACAGGTAAGTGGGGGTGGAAAACAGAACCTAGGTATTTCTGAGGCCTCCACTCCGTAGGAAAGCCTTGAGGCACTCTATGGCAGGCAAGGTCACCTGCTTCCCTGAGACAGAGCTGTGACTCATTTCTAAGTGATTATTTTTTCTCCACCTTGTAGCTATTTAAGAAATGCAAAGAAGAGCAGAGGATAATGGGATGTGGAATCCTTGTCGTACTGACAGGTTAGCAGAAGCCTTTTGTGATATAAGGGGAAAACCATTTAAATTGAGTGTATATTTTTGGATTTGAAACAGGAAAAAGACAACCACATTATGTATCACACTTACTTGCTGATCATCCACATCTTGAATGCCATCAATTTCTGTCCCATTAGTTGTGGAATTTTTGCAGAAGGTGGCAGGAGAAGAGTTAGAGTTGTGGTCACTCATGCTGTGTCCTGAACTTACACAGCTGTCAGTGGAGGGCCGTGAGGAGACAAAGAGGCTGATGTTATCAAAGTCGTCATCACAAAAGCTGTTGTCTGTTATGTCCTTCTGCACCTTGGCTGGGTTGTAAGGCTTCAGGAAGGAGGAATACACATACCCTTTAAGGACTAGATAGTAGAATAACAGAGAAATATGTTTCAAAACCAACCACTTTAGGCAGCTGTCTGTGTGAGAGGCAGACAGAGGGGGCTAGAATGGAAAGAAGTCAGTAGCCTTAAGAGAAGGTGTTATTGGGATGTTTGTGCAGGTAACTTACTTCCTGTGTCAACAAGCCATCTGCTTGTACTGCCGAAGGGGTCCTTTTGCTCCACAACAGCCACCAGCTCTCCTTCATGTAAATCAATATCAAATTGCTGTGTGGCATTGCATTTGCGCTTAGCTTGATACAGCAGTTCTCTGCTGTATGTAGATAACAGCTTGGACCTGTGCTCTTCTGTTTGGTGTGGGGTTTCAAGCTGAAAAGAATGAAAACATTCATAGACCATTAGTCTGAGGTCATTTCTAGAGCATCAAGGGTGTATAATAGACACAGGTGTATACTGCCTGTGACTGTAGGCTGTATATTTTTTGCATACAGATAAAAGAATTTTTTAAAGAAAAAAAAACAGTAGTCTCTAGTGTTCTATGTGTATGGAATTTTTTGCTCTACAAGTGTGAGATGCTGTTAACTGCTTGAAACACATCCAATCAGTTTGCTCTGAGGGGCAGAGCAGGAGGCGCTGCATACCAGTGTGACCATAATATGGCACAGTAGCAAGAGCATGTGTGCCTTATGGGTGCTAGAAGGGATCTACAGTTTCTTTGGCTTCTGCAGTAAATCTGCACCTGAGTTTATTTTACTATACACTATAAGCTTTGAAAGTGTTTAATTAGATGGGGATCTAGGCACATGCAGATTTTCTGGTGGATTTTTTACATTTTCTGAACTGGCTGTGTGTGAATATATTTGTGTTCATAAATACATGCACAAATACAAAGGACCATAGCTGAAAAAAGTGAAAAGTTATTAGATGAAGATGCTCAGCAAGACTATTTAGGGAAGCATCTGAATGTTGTATGTACAGTTAATGAGCCTAAAGATCTAAGGATTGTCAGAGATGATTTCAAGTAGAATTTCAAGATATTAACATGAAGAGATAGGAAAACCTTCAGAAACTACCAGTGAATGGAAAAGCTTCATTCCAACAACCCAATTCAGGTTCCCACTGAAGGGACCCAGTGCAAACCTCTAGGTGGCATAAAAGCAGATTTGTTTCAGAAGTGATCAAAAGAAGATGCTTCATCCACAATTTGGGAGTATGACACACACCGGTGTTGGGACAGGCTTCTTTTTCTCCAGGCTCAATTTTCTTTCAATAAAGGTTGCACTGCTGTTTTCTTTTACAAAGTTCAGCTTGTGAACCTCTTCGATCAACTGATTCTGCACTTCACAGATGCTTGAGGAAGACAGCTGCAAACACAAAGGTGGGTTAGATCTTATGAACAAGATGGTAGGGAGACTTCAGACAGTAGATGTGGTGTTGTGGGCTGAATACTAGGAATGGGGAGATCTGTTAAGTTACTGTTATATCCTGCAGAGCCCATACTGAGCTAGGTATGAGACAGAAAGGAAAGAGCGAAAGATCCTCGCTAAAAAAAAATTATAATGATTACTATTAGATTTAAGAACACACTGATATAACTAAATTTAACTAAAGTATTCCCAACAGTATTGAAAATTGTGAAATGAAACAGTGATTAAAATGAAAATGAGTGAACAGCAAGAAATGATAAAAATGAGCAGCCTTGTACTTATGCTACTGAGTTGCTTTCAGATGCAAATGTGCATCAGCAGCTACCACAGAGCAGCCAATGTGCTGTAAGACTCCAGGTAACTACCCCCACAGCTGTGTGTTTATGAAATGGCTGCTACCAGGTCTAAGCTAGTTGGGTTGGTCTGTGGCACCAGGTAAATGCTTTCAGCCTATGCCTTACCCTAAATGTTGTTTGCTGCTTAAAATAGAAATATATATATAGACAAATTATACTACAAACAATGCTTTATAACAGCTTTCAAAACAATCCTTTCCATATTGTAACATGTGTAATATGATATGTAACATATGGATTATAGGGATGCAAATCCTTAATGCAGAAAAAGCTCTTGTTTTCTCATCTAAAAAGTGCAGCTCTGTTTTGACCCTGACCTTGCTTTCTTAATTTTTCTCAGCTACAAGTGACTGGGAAGTGTTGTAATCAACCCCTGGTGGAAAGGAATACTCCAGCTGTGTCTTATATGTAGTGTCTTGTGCAGGCATTGTCACCTAAATGTGGCTCTGTTTCAGGTGAGTGGGCTCACAGTTATGGAGGCAGCTTCGCTGCTGTGTTTCTCAGCATTCAGCTCTTCCAGGGAAAGATAAAACAGAATTTAAACTGTGATTATTTTTTTCCTCACAAATTAGTAAAGAATAATTTCTTGAGAAGCTTAACATGGTGACCACAGGGCACAGCAAGAATTGGCTGGAGGAACTAAACTCCTTGGCAGCTCAGAGGCACACTTGCTATCACTGGCTACATCAGTGAAATCATTTAAATTTTCTATTCCTTAATGTCTTGAGAGTTTGCAGGAGCTTCTGTGGCATATTTGGGTTTAAAAGCAAATTGCTTATAATAGAAATAATTAAATCAGATTTTCTAGCCTGCTTCTGTCCTGAAGTCTTCTCTGTGACTCCACAGATGTAGCAGTAGCAGAAGTGTTCATGTACTTTATTGGATTTCCTGCATTTTCTAGGCCGCTTGTTAGACCCAAACAAGTTAAGGCTAAAATGTTAGCAATGCCTCCTTTTTGGTTTACTGTAATGTTATCACCATTAATATCACTGCAATAGTGCTAGTCTACCTATTAGTAAAAATGTTGAAGGTGGGCAAAATTTAAATGCTAAATTTGCAAAGTATAAAAACAAAAAACAGGGTTCCTTGTAAGGATGTTCTAAGTATCTCCAGCCAAATAATACAGAAAGAAGACAGACTTATAGCTATGTCCATCTCCAACATCCTTACTGGAACAGGAACCACCATAGCAGAGTTGGCCTGAAGTGCTGCACACATGATGTCCCTGAGGAGGGTAATGAAGCAATGCAAGCAGTTCAACACAATCTTCTTGGCTGCTCGGTTGAATATCTGAAGTTCTTCGACTAGCTGGGCATTTAGAGCCTCATAGTCTTTCTTTGCCAGGTCCAGCTCTTCTCCTGCTGACCTCTCAAGGCAGCTGTTATAGTCCAGCAGTTTGTCGTAGCGCTTCTGAATTAGCTTTTGGGGCCCTGGAAACAAGGCCTGTAGTCCTGACAGAGGAGCCAATATGAGCTTGTCCAGTTGAACCATCTGGAAAATTATAAAGCAAACCTACATATTACTTCATTTTTTTTAATGAAGAGGTTACGTCTGATAAGGTTGCAGCCTAGGCTGCTAATAGGACTTCACAAAGCATTGCTG